CACGGGGGAGCAATCCGCTCCCCCAACAGCTACGCCACGCCATACCACGCCGAACGGAAGTGCGAACGGATCTACATCGAGCTCGAATCGAAAGAACAGAGCCATGTCCATGAGGAGCCTTCATCGACGCGTCTCGCACCCGTGAGTCGCTTTTTCTTTCCTTTGTGTTTTTGCTTCGCTATATTTTGCTTATGCGGTTCATGCTTGCGTAGAGGAAGTCTAAATATGGGCGACCACCCGAGAGTTGGCGAGTGATTGAGATGTAGAAGGTTCCAATTGGCAGAGGCGGCGCGATGGGTGTGCATTTCTCCCTGCACGTTCGGAGAGTTGATACGTCTACGTTTCTGGGACACCTGTTTGCACAGGGCCCAGCTGGAGTAAGCATGGCAGGACCTCGCAATATGTAGCCTACCATGTAGGCTATTACTATTAATATGCTACCATGACTATTTTGCGAGGTACTGCCATACCTACTTTAGCTGACAGCCGGCTATATTCTACGAGGTCCACTAGAATTAACATGGTAGGCTATATTTTGTGGGGTCCTGTAATTTGTCAGAACAGAAGCGCACGCCTAGACTGACATATTGTCGATAGGAATAATTGTCCTGAGCTATCATGCAATTAGGTCAAAGATAAGGTCGGTAAATGTCTCAATGTGTGAGATATGGTAAATTATAATGTAGTTGTCAGTGTTATTATTTATACGCCAGTACGTCACAGTGGAAGTGTTCAAGGGTGGACCGAGTGGATCTCCGTGCCAGTGGAACCTTCTTATCAGCCGATTCTCGGGTTGTCGCCTGCTTTTTGTATACGTTGTACTGTTGACAATCTGAGAGTATGCGAGTGATTACGATGTAGAAGGGATATTGTACAATTAGTTACAATAGAAAACGCTTAGCCTCACATGTATTTTTGACGGTAGACACCAATTAGGCCAAATAAGTTAGTAAATGTCTCGAGAATTAAATAGTGCAAATGATTATTGTTATTATTCTTATTTGCTTATACGGCACATTGAAACGCTGAAATGTTCTGAGTGCACCCAATGGATCTTCTTACCTCTGGGACCATTGCGCCAGCAACTCTCGGGTTGTCGACAGTTTTATACGTTGTAGTTACATTTGTTTTTATTAATTTGAGCTTTCGGCTGTAAGTTATGGCCCATATTCGTAGTATGTATTATAAATTTATAAATTGTCTAAATGACAAGGGATACATTCCCAATGACTTTGATCTTAACATGCACTGTTAAGTTTCTGAATAACTTCTCCCTATAATAATCGTCTCATTTATTAAAAGATTTGTACATAATTTAACAACAAAAAACTTGACAATTCTTTAAGTAGTTTAGCAATTGGAGCGGTGGTACATGTGAATTTATAAAGCTGAATTTCAATTATTTTGAATTTTAGGTGTAATCCATTTGCATGTCGAAAACAAAAGTATTAGTATTACACAAAAATATAATGAAAAATAACATGTGAACTTGCGGCGCAAACTATATAAACATGCGATGAAAGTACCGCATAAATACGAAATAAAAAGTTGTATAAACACGGAATAAAAAGTGTTATATGTATAACATCTGATGAAAACTACCATATAAATATACAATGAAAAATGCTACGTAAAAATGAAAAATAATATTTCAAAAAAATATAATGAACAAATACATTTTCATGTCGTTATAAAATGAATTGTGTCGTAGATTATCCTCGACTTTAATTTTGCGAAAGAGTAAATTTATTCGAACGGGAAACTCGTTTCTTGCAAATAGAATTCAACGAAAAGATAATATTATCTTTCTTCTATTTTTCCATATACGCGATGTGTACGTTGCATGTATCACATAGATTGTCGGCAGATAGAAGGTGAGAGGTGCGAAGGGATGGTGAAATTCGGTTGCTGGAGACATTTGTCAACGGCAACGCAGGGGGTCGATTTCAGGGGTGGAGACGACTCTGTAAATATTGTAACTAGTGTGCCACCGTTGCTAACGTTGATGTGCTTAGTTTATCGATTGACCGAATAGAAATTTTCTTTTTAATCGCCGGATGACATTTTTCATTTCTAATTGAAGTGCTCTAAAATATAAGCTATCATTTTTGTACTACGACATATTGCAAAGCCTGTTGAATATTTTCAAGGTGTAACGCTTTGATATTGGAGTTATAATGTGAAATTATAATAAGTTGAGAAGCAATTGAGGAGGTCAACATTGAAATAGTTTACCACAAACTATGTATTTAAAATTCAAGTAAAAATTGCTATTCATTCATTTTTAATAGTGTTCATGGGGGTTGCTCTGAAGATAATCTGAGGGGAAAGTAGAAATGCAAATTTTCAGATAAAAAAATTCATGTTATATATTCATCTGTTAAAAGGTTCATATGTTACATGTTCATATGTAACATGTTCGTATGTTACATACACATATGTTATATGTTCATGTATGTTCATAATGTATTACATGCTGATATGTTGCATGTTCATATGTTACATGTTCATACATTACAAAATAAAATTAAATGCTGATAGTTAATTTGTAATAATGGTAACAAGTGTATGTCTTTTGCAAAATCTACAAAAGCACAAATACTGTATACCTAGATATAAAATCATTTCGACCATAATTTCCTTCATTCCAATACTTTCATTTTGTTGAATTATAGTATTACTGAATATACGGTATTTTAACGAATATAGTATTATTGAATGCAGCATTTTGTTGAATGTAAAATGTGTGAATATAAAGCAGAATATATCCAGAATTCAGAGTACTGATATCCTGATATCTTAACCAAAAAGCGGTCTAAATGCTAGATAATCCACGGTATTAGGTGCGAAGCCCATATTTAGACCATTTTCTCAGAGATGCTTAAAGCAATTTTGTCGGCGTACAGTCAAAATCTACTGTTCGGCGATTCTATAATTTGAAACTTTGCAAGCGTAGACAAAATAGAAAATTAAAAACTTGTACTATTTACAGACTAAAAATTGCAAATTTAGAAATTTAGAAAATTTTGAAAATAGGAAATTTAATAATATTAATATTTATATATACAGCATTCTTATAATGAACAAATTGTTAGCAACGATAAACAACGTACCACAATCCCCTCAAAAAATAAAAAATATAAAATTGCACAAGAATTCTAGTTCACGTTTAAACCAGAGAGACTACGATCTCTAACTAGCATTTTTAGGGATGAAAACCACAAATCATCTCGTTCGAGGTCGAACATTTGTTGACGTTTTGAATTGATCGATTCGACAGAGCAATTGTCTGGTAAAAATCCGGATTCGAATAGCAGTCCCGGCAATCCGATCGGTGGTTTCTTTTTTTTCTATAGATTGAAGACAGGGAAATGGTAGAGGAGAGATTTGAATGGTTTAACGCCGTCTAATTTCCTGTATTCGAACTTTTCCTGCAAGCAAAACCCCGGAGGCTTTTGTAAACGAGATTTCTGGAGTTAAGGTTGTTAAGCGCTCCCGTCTGCAAATTATTCCGTTATGAAACTGTTTTGTCATTGTGTTTGCAACGAAATGTATTTCTGCAGTTTTATAGACGTAGATGCGTATTTTGCAGAACTAAACCCAGAACAATTAATTGTGTCACAAATTATTATGGCTGAAGTTGAGAAAAATTTTACTGAAGTTTGTTGAAGTGGAAGTCAATTATTAGATTTTTAAGAAATTTTTTTTAGGAAGCATTTAACAGTTGTTAAATGTAGTAGTTGTAAAGCTGTAATTAGAACAATTAAAAATAATAATTTTTAGTTGTTAATGATAAAGATAATTTTCTATTACTTATGATAATTTTTAATGATCAAAACCATCAGAAATATTAACGTTTAATTGTCGGTAATAATAATAGAGATGTCGTTTATAATAGTAATTAATAATTGAAATAATTAAAAATTTGCAATGTTAATTTACAGTTGTCTTTAATGATGAGAGATTAAATTATTTTTAATAGTTAGTCATTAATAATCAGTATATAAAATGTTAATTTTTAATTTTTAATGGTAAGAAAATTAAATTACTTAGAATACTTATCAATAAAATTAAATATACAAACAATGTAACAATTAAATATATTAATTTTTAAGTGTCACTAATATCAAGTATCACATCAACTCAATAATAAGTAATAATTAGTCTAATTAAAAAATTAAAGAAGTTAATTTTGTCTCTGCAATAAAGAACTAAATTATTCATAATGGTTATTGATAATCAGAACTATAAAAAATGATAATACTTAAATGTCAATAATGATAATAAAAAGTCAATGACTTATAATAGTTTTGATAATCAAAACAATTACAAATATTAATATTTAATTATTGTGATTATTAATAACTATTATAAATGATTACAATATTTCTGTCATTAGTGGCAATTAGAAATGAATATTTTTAATTGTTCTGTTAATTAACATCAATTACAGACGAGAATAAAGTTGTTATTATTAGTAATGATTAATTTTACTATTATCTATAGGAAAATAAGCTTTAGTTGTTCTTAATCAATATAAACTATTGAAATTTAATTATCAATGATTACCAATGATTATCAATGATTTAACAAAAAATCAAGATATTATAATTAATAAAATTTCTTTTGTAACACTAATGCCGCCCGACATAAATTACATTTACGATTTAACGAATAATTGAAAACGTCGCAGTGTTATCAGTAAACGTATGGATGTATTAAAGTTTTACTCGAATTAAACAATTTGCAGCTTAGAAGGAGTTTTAAAATGATGTACGCATCGGAAGTTATAGGGTTATACAGTTTCCGGTGCGTTGCAGTCTGGCATGTTTGACTATACGCTTACTAGTTTCCCTTACTACTCCTCGCTCTAGTAGTATAGGTCAGCCATATCTGGTTATATTCCATCGTAACTTTTGATACGCGCGTTAATTTTCATACAGCCATCGGATAAAGTTATCTGAGTTAACAGGAATGTTACACAATATGGTAAATCGATTTGTAACTGTTATTTACTGCGTTAGGTATTCTTTTTACGTTTTTGTTTCACAGTTTGATTGCTACCATTTTTGTACGCAAATATGTCAGTACTTTCTTTTTAATGTTCGACGTTCAGAACGTTGCAGCGATTTTATTGCCTC